CTACTAGCGTTCTCTCTCACAATGGGTCCAGAGTCCAGGTACTGCGGGACATCCACAGCCAGTACCCGTCCCTAACATCATTACTCAAATGACTCAAAACTTACTAAAGTACTGTTGTACGTCTACAGCTAGTACTAGGTACTTCTCTATGAACTTTTATGCTTTTAAATGAAGCTTTAACTAGACTTTTAAAGAAAACCAGTTTAATATTAAAGAAGATAAATAAATATAAAGACTCAACAGAAGAAAGGTAAAGTGAAGTTTAAAGAACGTGAATGTTCAAATGAAGTGGAAAAGGTTACTCTATGAAGAAACACTCACTCTTTAACATTATCTTGAATGTTAAACCAATAAGGAATATTGAAAAGGCTACTCTGTGAGAAAACTCACCTGATGTTGATTTTTACACTAACACGAAATCACACTGATAATTGCTGCTCTAATGCGAATTTGAACTAATAGTACTGCCCGTGATTTCACCCTTATTTATTGACAGATTCAATATAGACAATATTCGAATATCAGATTTTTAAAAATTCCGAGCCCTAGTTAATAGCCTAAAGCGCTGAGAGTCAGGGTTTTATATGATGAATAAAACACTGATAACATGGTTGAATTGTTTATATTTTTTTAAATATTCAATTCATTAGAGTTCGGTTTATCTTAACTGGTTACACGGGAAGTTCTAATACTTCGCACGGTAGCCACTTGGAACTCTCCAGGGCGTCCCAGAAGTTGCAATCTTGGTCGATTTTATCACGGTTTAACTTGTCGATGTCCAGTGGAACCGAATGATCTGAAATCACAATTAAACCTGCTTTATTTGCATAAACCAATTGTCGTGCAGAGTGTCCAACATGTCCAAACTGTAATAGAAGGTTCAGTGATATGTTTTACCTATCAATTCCAGTTCGTCTTCCTTTTTCATCTCCGTTGCGGCCATGTAAGTGTTTTGAGGCATGTGGCCGGTATTTGCCTGATCCATATTATAGCCTTGCTACAACAAAAAAATCAACCGTAATGGAATATTCAAAATCATTGACGACTTTTTCCCATTGAGCAAAATGTGATTCGAACGATTAGGTTGCATTGA